CGGGTGGGGGGGTGCTGAGGGCAGTGGACAGAGCAACCCGCGGCACCGGTGGAGGGGTGTGTGTGTGTCTGACAGTGTGTGTATATGAGCGTGTCAGTGTGTGCAAATGTGTGAATGTGTATCTATGTATGTGATGGTGCGTGCATGCATGTGCATGTGTGGTTTTGAGCGTGGGGATATATGAGTGTGTCAGCATGTGCAAATGTGTATCTATGTATGTGATTGTGCATGTATGTGTATGCACGTGTGTGTTTGAGAGAGTGGGGTACATGAGTGTGTCAGCATGTGCAAATGTATATATATGTATGTATGTGATTGTGTGTGCATGTGTGTGTGTATGTCCACACATTGTGGGTGTCTGAAAGTTTGTGTGTGTCTGTGAAAGTGTGTGTGTGTGTCAGTGTGCACATGTGTGTGAACATGAGTATGCATGCTTGTTTGACTATGCATGCTTGTGTGTGCCCACATGTGAGTGTCTGAGTTTCTGCATGTGTCAGTGCGTGCACATGTATGTGAATGTGTGTATGTGTTTGTGCTTGTGTGCATGCTTGTGTACATTTGGGTGCATGTGTGTGTGCCCATGCATGTGTGTTTGAGAGTTTGGGCATGTATCTGTAAAAGTGTGTGGACATGTGTGGGAATGTGTATATATGTGTGTGATTGTGTGCATGCTTGTGCGTGTATGTGTGTGTGTGTGTGCACGCGCACGCACGCATGCATGTGTCTGAGAGTTTGTGGGTGTATCTATGGAAGTGTGTGTATGTGAATGTGTCAGCGTGCACATGCGTGTGTGTGAATGTGTATAGATGTGTGTGATTTTGTGTGCATGCTTGTGCATGTGTGCATATGTGAATGCATGTGTGAATATGTGTGCGTGTATGTGTGCACAGATGTAGGGCCAGCCCCAGAGACTCTGCTTCTTTTAAAAACTTTTATATCTCACTTTTATTTTGTCACTTTACGCTCTGTTTCCACCAGCCTGGAAACCCCTTCAAAAGTGTGGCAGCCCGACCCCTCTCCACCCGCTTCTCCTCCTCCCAGCACAGCTAGGCTTTTATCTGGCGTAGAAGCAAGAAGGTAATTCATTACTGTCTGTTTTCTTCCCCCCGCCTTGGCCTCTTTGCTGGGAACATCAACGAGAACGCATGTTTGCGCTCTCCCCAAAGGTTGTTTTTCCCCACGCCTTGTCCTTTCCAAAGTGGACTGAAATTAAACTAATTTCACGCAGTCCATCAAAGATATCAGACGATGATAAATTTCATTCACTGCTGCACTGTGGATACAAATTAGAGTTGGCATCAGTGAAAGGCACTGTATCGTGTTTCTAATCCCCATAGCCATCCAGGTCTCTTAACAAATAACGTGACTGGGGAGATGCCGAGGGCTTAAAGATGAACTCAAAATGCTTAGAAATCAACATGTTTCCCACATATATGCTATGGATTTTTTTTTAAAAGGTCACTTTTTAAACTTTTATGAGTCTGATCGTGCGACCCCTTAGCACTCTTACCACTTGGCGGATGTTAAGGTGCTCAGCACCTCATGTGGTTGGTGCCTTTAAGGAAAATGACTGCTCATGTAAAATTCTTTAAACATGGAGCAGCGAGTTGTTTATGGATGTACCTAATAGCAGATGATTTACAAGCATTAGAGGAGCACTACAATGTGACTTTTTCAGCATTCTTTATTATGCACAACTGTAAGCAGAAGCTTACAATGCCAAATGCAGATAATAATGTAGAAGCATTAAGGCCCTTAGACCTTCCTGTACTTTTCTTCTCTAAACAGTGTGTGATAGTTATTCTAACCAAAGCTAGAGAAAGTATTGTGTTATATACTGACTTGAAAAAAAATAGTAGTTTCATTAATTCTTTTAACAAGCTGTAATTTTTCCATAAATATCCTTTCACTCTTTAATCATACACTTTTTCAAATAATTGTTGATTTTTTTGCTATATTATTATTGGCTGAGCATCATAAATGTACAGGATGCTTTATCCATTATATTTATAAACAGCCAGTTCATTTCTTTTATGCACTAATAAAAACCATAGCAAGAGATGCACGATACTTACCAAGCATGCAAGCAGTCCACACTGACAACATCTCGGGGCCAATTCTGATTCTATATATAGGGACATTAAAGGGCTGCAATGAGTTAAGGGGGGCAGAACTTCCTCTGTTTCAAAGCTATTTAGGGATGTGTTTGGTGGACCCGTGCTGCCCCCCTTACAGCCCTCACAGCATGGGCAAGAAAAGGTTTGTCAGGATTGGAAGAAAGAAGGAAAAGCAGAATTTCTCATCTGTATCACAGCTCATAGTGGCTCTGAGCAAAGCTGCCATACGTGAGTGACTGGTGCCTCCTGAATCTGAAGGGGCACCCACAGAACCCATCAAGGGCAGCAGCCCTGTCGGAGTGGGCACCAGCCCTACCGACAGCATCAGTGTTGGCCGTCAGGGGGGGCACTGGCCCCATCGTGGGGGCACATGCACCCCCGTGCACCCCCTACCCCTTGCCTATGCTGCCATAAATTACAGGCATTAATGATGTATGGTTTTAGAATCCAGTATCATTGATATCCAAGCTTGTTTACTTCATCTCTTTCTGATGAACTCTTAGCAAGGTTTCATGGAAAGTCGTCATAAATAGAAAAATACTTGTATCATTTTATTTTCTAAAATAGGTTAGATATAAGCTCTGCACCATAAGCTGTACAAAGTGATATGCAACTACCTCAGTCAGTGATGGACATGAAGCTTCATGTTTCTCCAAACTCTACATATGGGTTACGTTTATTAGACACAAAACTGTATTCATCCAGTATTCATCTACACCGAATGCTTGCCAATTAGCAGACCTCACTAATTTGTAACTATAATACAAAACAAGGATCAGGCAAGGAATTGCTAGAGGCAAATTATCAGCAGTGAGGGACTTCATATTCATCAGCATTTTAGCCACGACAATTTTTGCTAAATCA